TCCCACGGCCAGTAAAGGAAGTTAAGCAGACATTCTGAATGTGAACTGGGCATGATATCATATTCAACCAGCCAATAGCTGAGAAAGGGAAGAAAGCCTATTGCTATCAGGTTGGTTCCCAAAAAATGGTGCTTTCGAAGCCCTTCTTACCCAGCGAATTAAGGATCTCATAATTGGTCTTCATCACTTGCTGATACATTTCCTTCTGCCATTTCTCCAGGATCTTCCATTCTTGCTTTGAAAAATATAAGGCCACATCATCAAATGTCACAGTGACCTGGAATCACAAACAGTACATAGGTACATTTTTACTTTAAGGCTACTTTGTTTTTCAATGTCCATGTCTTTAAGAGTCAGGAAGAAACTATATTAGTTATCTCTCAATGGTGCCATAAACAACATATAAAGCGGTCAGCAATGCCTCTTGGAACCAAGTAAAATGAATGAATGAATAGCAGGCCTTTCAAGCACATGCACCATCTAAAGAGAGGACCCTTAGCAGCAACCAATTAGTGCTATGTACGACAGGACCAATGTTACTAGATCTATCATTTTTTAAAAAATACTTTTTATTTTGAAGTAATTATAGATTCACAGAAAGTTACAAAGATAGTACAGAAGGGTTCCCAGTACTGTTCACCCAATTTACCCCACAGGTCACATGATATTGCAGTACAATATCAAATCCATGAAATTGACAATAGTACGGTGTGTATATAATTCTGTGTGATCTCATCACATGTGCTGATTCATGTAACCACTCCGAAATCAAGAAACAAAACTATCCTACCACCAGGGATCTCCCTTGTGCTACTACCCGCTTCGTAATCAAACCCACTGATCTATTATTATCCATCTCTACAATTTTGTCATTTCAAGAATGTTAAACAAGTGAAGTCATATAGTATGCAACCTTTTAAGACTGCCCTTTTTCAGTCAGCATAATGCTCTTGAAACCCATCCAAGTTGTGTTTATCAGTGTTTCATTTCTCTTTATTGCAGAGTAGCAGTCAACAGTATGGATGTACCACAACTTAGTTAACCATCTGCCTATTAAGGGAGATTTTGGTTGTTCCTAGTTTCGGGCTATTACCAAAAAAGCTGCCATGAATAATTACATACAGGTTTTGGGGTGGGCATGCATTTTCGTTTTTCTGGGATAAATGCCCAGGGTTACAACTGCTGAGTCATATGGGAAGTATATGTTTAGTTTCTTAAGAAACTTTTCTAGGGTGGCTGAACCCTTTTACATTCCTACCAACAAAGTAAAGAGTATGAGATTGTTTCTCAGCATCCTCACCAGCATTTGGTCATGTTGCTATTTTTTATTTTCACTATTCTAATAGTCGTACAGTGATGTCTCACTGTGGTTTTAGCTTGCATTTCCCTAATGAATAATGATGATCATCTTGTCATATACTTATTTTCCTTCCATATACACTCTTTAGTGAAATGTCTCTTCATGTATTTTAACCATTTTCTAATAGGATTGACTTTTGACTGTTGAATTTTGAGAGTTCTTTATAGATTCTAGATACAAGTCATTTTCCAATTTTGTGGTTTACAAATATTTTTCCACCGTCTGTTACCTTGTTTTTTTTTAACCCTCTTAACAGGATTTTCCCAGGGCAAAAGTTTTAAATTGTGATGAGATCCAATTTACCTCTTTTTTTTTTTTCTATTACAGGTGATGCTACCTCTGAGAACTTCTCACCAAGCTCTAGGTCCTAAAGGTTTTCTCCTGCACCATCTTCTATACGTTTTATAGCTTAACATTTTACATTTGGATGTGACAGTTTATATAGAAAAACCAGATATTCACATTGTATGTGAACGCTCCTGATTTTTATATCTTGACAACTAAAATTTACAATTTTAACAAGGGATTCCAAACCAAATAAACAGAAAAACAAAACAACACATCTGCAAGACATGACTGGCTNCAATGACTTTTTTAAAATAAATTTTATTGGGGAACAGTGTGTTTTTCCAGGACCCATCAGCTCCAAGTCAAGTCGTTGTTTTCAATCTAGTTGTGAAGGGCACAGCTCAGCTCCAAGTTCAGTCGCCACTTTTTTTTTTTCAATCTAGTTGTGTGGGGCAGGGTGGAGGGGGCACCCCACCATCCCATGCGGGAATCGAACCAGCAACCTTGTTGTTAAGAGCATGTGCTCTAACCAACTGAGTCATCTGGCTGCCCACTAGTGGCTCAGCTCAACTCACTGTCTTCAATCTAGTCGCAGAGAGCACAGCTCACTGGCCCATGTGGGAATTGAACCGGCAACCTTGGTGTTCAGAGCACGCACTGTAACCAACTGAGCCACCTGGCTGCCCAATGACTTTCTGAATCTGCCTGCCATGGGTAAACTATATTTAAGTTTAACTTTGATATGCAAATCCTTTCATCACGGGTTAAGAAATGGCTTAGCATGAAAAAAAAATGGCAGAGAAATGCATCCTGTGAACCTGTGGATGACCCTCAGAGGGTGAGCAGAAGTCGGAAAACAGTAAAATGAGTTCTGAGAATCTGACTATTCCGTTATATTTCCTTACATGTGTGAAATAAATTGCTAAATACTTACGTAGGAAGGCTTTGGGCCATATTCTTGCCCCCTTCTACCAGTTTTCAAGAGAAATTTTCTGGAAGAAATGCTAATAGGAACTATATTTCTTAGGAATGTCAAAACGGCAATTTACTGAATTCACAAAGAACACTGTGGAAATAATTCCCTTTTCCATGGAACTGTGAATTATAAGAAAGACATGGATCTAATCATAGTTACTACTGTTCCCAAAGTAAAAGCCATGATGACAGGAAACAGGGGGCTGAGCTAGCATCTTATCATCACCCACTATACCTGGAGAGGACAATTCCGACAGCACTGTGTTTCAGAGCTGCTTTTCCTGCTATGTCCTCTTGAACTGGGTCCCAGGGCTCACCTTTTTAAATCTCTTAACCCAGAGGAAACCTCACCTACCAGGAAGGGTGGGCCTGTCCCTGGAGAAGAACTCTGATTATGCTCTGTGCTCATCTTAACAACAACACAGGTTATGTTTCCAACTGGATGATGTCATTTAGTAAATTACCACTCCACAGCTTTTGCCTGGATCATAACAAAAGCATATTTACCTGTCTACTTGAATCCTATTTCTCACACTTACTATTTACCCTAGGCCAAGGAGCAGTTGTGACTATTGGGTGAAAAATACCTGATACGAAGAGAACATCTGATTTTAGGTATAGCCACCACAGTTCATTATTTGGTACTCAAAAGCCTTTCCAAGCTCCTCCCTTTCTATAGGATGAAGTCAAATTCTCATCTTGGCATTCCTGGCCTCAGACAATCTGACACCAATTTATTTATTTATTTTTATTAGCTGAGCCATCCTGCCACCTGTTAGCAGCTCAGTGGCAGCTCAGCTCAGGCCAGGACTCGAACTGCTGTTGCTCAGAGCTCGCACTCTTGAGCGAGCTCTTAACCAACTGAGCCACTCGGCTTGCCCAATCTGACACCAATTTATGGTGTCCCAGTCTCCCACCCCCCATTGCCACTATGTCCCAAGAAAAACATTCAGCTATACACAGTGTCATCATTTTCTAAATATACTGGGTTGTGCCCACCTCTGAGCCTCGGCTCATGGATCACCCCTGTTGAATCTTCTCTGCCTGACCAAGTTTGCCCATTATATGCTATTTAAACCCTGGTTCCTTTCGAAGTCCCCCTGGGGCACTGCTCCCTCTCCTCTAAATTCCTAAAGCACTGTCATTATCACTTATTTTATTAAATTGTATTCAATTATATTTTAGAATTGACTAACCCAATATTTCCACATAATTAACTAACTTAACAGCTATGTCAGTAGGTTAGTAAGACAATAAAGTCCTAGAGCAGAAGGACTGTTTATAATGTGTGTGTGTGTGTGTGTGTGTGTGTGTGTGTGATATATATATATATATATATCCCCTCGCACCCTAAGTGATACCTCACATAATCCTATGAACGCGGTAGGGACTCAGTGGTTAGATGAATGACAGAATAGTTGGTGGCAATGAAGCAAAGCCCTTGGGAATTCTTCTATCCTTTTGATGGAGCCTGCCGCACATTCTCTAGGTTCAAATTTCCTCTTCTTCAGGGGAGTCCTTTCACTCTCTGGAACTCAGGAGATCTCCACTGAGTAAAGCACCAACACATTCCCAAAAATGATATATTCCCTTTAATATTTCAAGGCTAAGGTGTTTCAGTGTTTTCCTTATGATACAAGGAGTTCAAAAAGTAATTCTTTAAGAGGAATTTTTTAAAAAAATTCCTAAGTTCTAAAAATTGTACAATAAAAAAATATATTCTACAAAATGAGAAGATTTTCCATTCTATATTCAAATGGACACGATGGTGTGATGGGGAAGTTGGTTTTCCCATANTGACACATGCTATTGGAAATGCAAAGGGGTTAGATATGTAACACTGCTTGTTACTCACAACAGTGGATTTTTAGGTGATTTCAATTAATCCAGAAGCAAATAACACTTACATGGCCATCGTTTTAACAAAGATGGTAGATGACAAGATTTATTTTGAGCAATGTAGTGAAATTCCCCCGACACAGATACCTTCTTACCATTGGAGAGAAAATGAAAATTCACTGAGAGAAACTGAAAAACTCAATTAAATACGGAGGCCTGGTAAGGAAAGCAGACTGAGGTGTTTTGGGGAAAACATTTCTGTCTGTAAGACTCTTCACTCAATGTGGCTTCACAATTAAATGAAGGGATTACCACGCTCCTGGATGACACTGAAAAACCTGGTGAAATAGAAGAGAATACAATGTTCCTTCCATGACTAGTAGGCCCTGCCCATGAGGAATTTAGAAGGGAGATGCCTCTCTGTCTTATGCCTGGATTATCTGGAACGTTTCTCAAGGAACCACCACGCCCCACCTGCTATGCATCTGCCACTGTGTCTGAAGCCAGCGTTCATCGCTCACTTTCTGTGGCGCTTGACCTAGAGACTGAAGGGTTTTTCCCTGGCGTGTACTGCAGCAATATGGGTGTCAAGTGCCCCCGTGTATGTAAAGCTCCTTCCACACTCATCACAAGAAAAAGGCCTCTCCCCTCTGTGCTTGTGCAGATGGGTTTCCAAACGTCTTTTTTGGAGGAAGCCTTTGCCACAGTCAGGACACGTGAAGGGCTTCTTCTGTCCATCGTGCGTGAGCAAATGGACCCTCAAACTTCCCCTTGTGCAGAAGCTCTTGTCACACTCCGGACACTGGAAGGGCTTCTCCCCACTGTGGGTCCGCATGTGCTCCGTGAGCCGATACTGCTGCGTGTAGGCCTTCCCACACTCGCTACACACGAAGGGCTTCTCGCCCCTGTGCAGCCACTGGTGGGACTGCATGGAGGCCTTCCAGGAGAAGCTCTTGTCACACTCCGGACACTGGAAGGGCTTCTCCCCACTGTGGATTCGCATGTGTTCAGTGAGCTGATACTGCTGAGTGTAGGCCTTCCCACACTCACTACACGCGAAGGGTTTCCCACCCCTGTGTA